GGTAAACCAAAGGAGGAGGCTGCAATGCTTGGTAAGAAATGTACGCATTATCCTGCCCATGTAATTGTAACCCCTCTGTACAGTATGTTCACAAATAAAAAAAAATAAATAAAAAAGAAATGCACTCAATACCTTGCTCAGGTAACTGTAACCCCTCTCTCTGTACAGCATTTTTACAATTAAAAAACATACCAAATTAAATACTGCGGTCATCTTTGCATGAACATTTCCTTATAGAAACTGCACTCGGGTGCTTTATTCAGAAAAAAGGAACTGAAAGTTCCGTTCCGTTCCAATCAATGGATGGAACCTTAGCTTCAGTCCTGCTTTTAGGACTTGCACCGCAGCAGCCCAGGGCTCCAGCAGAGAAGGCGGGAAACCGCCAGGGGCGGGGCCAAGCGGAACTCCGAGGCTTTACGTCAACCCTGTGCTCCGCCCTCTTCACGGGTTTGTGAAGCCGCAGGAGCGACTAGGGAATGCTAAAACTAGTGCCCAGGACGCATGCGCAAAATCTGGAGGTGGTGCGGGCGTTTGCGTGCGTGTGACGTCACGCGCGCGCCTATCTGAACACTTCCTGGTTTTTCTTGCAGCCCGAGCGTAAGTGAAATTTGGAGTAGGTGTGGAGTCCGCGGCGTGGGGAAGGTGGGTAAGGGCCCTGGACAGACAGGAGGAGGAGGCGGATTTCGTTCAGGTGAAAGCAGGTGCCGTTATCGCGGAGGAAACTCCCATGGGGCTGACATTTAGCCTGGGGCCTTCTTCCCTGGCGTGGAGGGAGACGATCGTAGCCAAGGCCAAGGCTCGCCTCCTGGAGCGCAGAAGGCCTGGGTGTGGCTGGTGCTCACACTTTAAGATGAGATCGTGAGGAGTTCGGTGAGGGTCCGGCAGGAAGCGTGAAAATTAAGATTATACCCTCCATGCGTAAGGGAACCTGCAGTTCAATGGAGGTGGGTCCTCCTGCTCCTCCTGCTCCTCCTCCTCCTCCTGCTCCTCCTCCTCCTCCCCTCCCCCCCCCGTAGACATTGGAGGAAGGGGGGTTCACCTAGGAAGCACCTGCTTTGGGTTCAATCTGACAATGCAATATTACAACTGCAGGAGGGATTGCAAAGGCCCCCAAAGAGAACATTTCGCCCCTCCTCCCCAGTTTTAATTCATAGTGGTAAAATATGTTAGTGAAGTTTTTACAGATCTTAAAACTAGACAAGGGGGGATACTTTTACACACAAAACTTATTATTTCTCTTTTTTTGGAAAAATACTGGTATTTATATTTTCCTTAGTTGAATTTACTTTGGACATCACTGTGAAGCAGAACTGATATGCCACTTGAATTATTAAAAGATGTTAATGGAGTTACTGCAGTTCAGCCACTAAGTAATTTACACAAAATAGATTTCAGATGCCTACAGCCAGATTGTGATTATAGCAAGAAATATATTCAGGTAAGAAGTTTCTTAAGTCAGAATGCATTTTCCTTCTCAAAGGAATACTATTGTTTATACTTCATTTCTTTATGAGAGCTGTTTTAAGAATAATTTTATCTTTTTTTTAAATTACAGTTGAGACCATATAGTTCAATAAATTCCTTTTACTTTGCAACATTCATTTAGTGAACATTTCACTGGATTCTGTTGTTCACTGGAATGTTTCACAGGTACATTCAAAGGTGAATAATTGTGGTCACTATACTAAAGGTAGCAACATTTATGTGAAGTTTGACATGTTGCTACCCAACCTCTACATTTAATTGTGGTAGCATTGCGATACATGAGTGTGAGAAACTTTGATTTTGATGAGTTGGATCAAGAAAGTTGAACTAGAAGTTCCAGAAAGGCAGCTTTATTTTTCTCTTAGATAGAAGCAGTTATGTGTATGTTGAATCTGGATGCTACCTTAAAGATATGGAGGACTCTTAGCAGATTTATCAGTAGGAGAAATACATGATTCATTTTGAGTTCAAACTACTTTGCCTCTAATAAAAGAATATATTGTATATAGCAAGTTTAGAAGAAATATACTTGATTTGGAAATACTGTAATAATCTAGGTGATCAATGACACTGAATCAGTGGAAAAAGAATGGTGGGAAGGCTGTAGATAGAAAAATATTAAATTTAATGGTAATAGAAAAAGCATTCATTGAACTGTTTCCATATATATAAAATACCTATGTATATACATATATTAGTATACCCACATAGATATATGTATTTAAAGATAACATACCTAACATACCAATCAACTCTGTGTAAATGTAGGTACTCCTTTCTCAAACTTTAATTTGCCTGAGATCAAATACCTAATAAGTGATAAAGGTGGAACTTAAATCTAGACAGTTTGCTTTAGTTTAACATAATAATAAACAGAACTTGTATAGCCAGGCATGGTGTCAAATGCTTGTAATCCCAGATACTCTAGAAGAGGAGGCAGAAGGATCTCCAATTTGGGGATAGCCTCAGCAAAGTTACCGAGATCTTAAGACAAAGTAGAAACGAATGAAGTAAATGGTAGTGTTGCTCCCAGTGGAGCACACTCAAGGCCGTAAATTCAATTCCATGAAAAGAAAGAAAAATAAAAGAAGAAAAGGAAGGTCTTGGAGAAGAAGTAGACTAGAGCAAGGAGGAAAGGAGTTCAAAAAACTGGTCTGCTTTTGATTCCTAACCCACCTGGCCTAGACAGTAGGAGGCATGAACAACTTGGGGATTTGATGACTTTCAATTTTTGCATATGCCTGAAAAAGTCTGGAAATGTCTAAGTTTTAATATGCAATAAACAAACATTTGGAGCTCAAGGATCTCTTATAGTTGTTTTGGCCACAGCATAGAAGAGAAGATACCTGTCTTACAGGAGTCAGTGAAACAAGGTAGCACATGAAAGAGATAGAATGTCCAGATAAGTAGAAAAAAGGAAGTTGTGTTTTGGATACTTAGGAAGGCAAGTTTAAAAAAGTGACTAATAGGGGCTGGGAAGATGGCTTAGTGGTAGAGCACTTGCCTTGCATGCCTGAGGCCCTGGGTTCGATTCCTCAGCACCACATAAGCAAAAATGAAAAAAGCTGGAAGTGGCGCTGTGGCTCAAGTAGTAGAGCGCTAGCCTTGAGCTGAAGAGCTGAGGGACAGTACCCAGGCCCAGAGTTCAGGCCCACGACTGGACCCCTCTTCCCCCCCCAAAAAAAAAAAGTGACTAATCTTAATCACTTTGGGAATCCTGTAATTGGGTCTTTTTTATTTGGCAATTTTAAATGTGCTTTTTTAAATTTTACTATATTTCCCCCTTGTAGTACAGTGCTTATTAAGTACAAAGTTCTTTATGCTACAGAAGTTGCTAAATTTAGGTCTACTCTTTTACTGCAGTGGCAGCTTTTGGGGTTTGTGCAGATTCTTTGCCAGCAGATCTAAGCTACACATTAGCACCATCTCAAAGGGATCAGACAGTTGACATTGATCTTGGCATCACCTACTCTTGTGTTGGTATCTTCCAGCATGGAAGTAGGCCTTCTTTTCATCTTATAGTCGGGAAAACAAACAGTTCATATAGCTAGTAGAGATTGGCATTTCCACTGTCTTTGCCAGGGACCAAAGATTTCTGGTTGATGGTAGATGATCACTTTAAATTTTAGATAGTATCTATTGGATCTAATAACCTCACAAGTTATTAGTCATTTGAGAAGATGGGTTTTACTAGAGCACTAAAATGCAAATCCATTTTTCGGTTGTTTGGGGATCAAATGCTAGGTGTGGAACTAAAAGCAGGGTATATCTGAGAAGATTGTCCTTGCTTGTTACTGGGTCTTGTGAGTGGATTCTGAAATTTGTTAACTTCTTAAATTTCTTTTTGGTCAGCCATTGGGCTTGAACTCTGGGCCTGGGCACTGTCCCTCAGCTGAAGAGCTCAGGGCTAGAGCTCTACCACTTGAGCCACAGCGCCACATCCAGTTTTCAGGTAGTTTTCTTGGAGATAAAAGTCTCATGGACTTTCCTGCCCAGGCTTGGCTTTCAGCCTCAATCCTCAGATCTCAGCCTCCTGAGTAGCTAGGATTACAGGCGGGAGCCACTGGCTCTGGCCTTTCTTCACTTTTTTATTGTTAATTTGTAGCACTTTGTCTTTTTTTTGCCGGACCTGGGGCTTGAACTCAGGGCCTGGGCGCTATCCCGAGCTTCCTTTGCTCAAGGCTCGCACTCTACCACTTGAGCCTATTGCCCCTTCCACCTTTTTATGTGTATATGATACTGTGTGGTACTGAGGAATCGAACCCAGGTTTTCATGCATATCTTCTTTGTGCATATTTTATTGATGATTACTATCTTTTTTTGTCAGTCGTTGGCCTGAACTCTGGGCCTGGGCGCTGTCCCTCAGCTCTTCAGCTCAAGGCTAGTGCCCTACCATTTGAGCCACAGCTCCACTTCCGGCTTTTTCTGCTTATGTGGTACTGAGGAATCAAACCCATGGCCTCCTGCATGTAAGGCAAGCGCTCTACCACTGAGCCACCTTCCCAGCCCTGATGATTACTATCTTATAAATAAAACTGATTATAAATAAAATGATTCTTGTCTCATTCTTATTGCTGGCTCAAAGTCTGACACTAATGTGTATATTATGGGATCTATTTTTAAACATTTTTACATGAATAAGTATCTATGTGGATATTTCCAAAGAACATATAATAGTATTATTAATCTTAGAGCCAGAAAAATTGTAGAAACCATCTAGATTAAACATTTCACTTTATCTGTCTGATTAGATGGTTTTCCAAATTGAGCGGGGTAGCTACTGAATCAGAACAAAGACCAAATTGAATTGGTGTCCTGGTATCTTGATTTTGCCATACGGTCCTTTTTTATTTATTAGAGTATCATTTTGCACTTGGAAATTTTCCTTTTAAAAATTTCATTCCCTGCCAGGCACTGGTGGCTCATGCTTGTAATCCTAGCTATTGAGGAGGCTGAGATGTGACAATCACGTTTCAAAGCCTTGAGCTGAAGAGCTGAGGGACATTGCATAGGCTCAGCGTTCAAGCCCCACAACTGACAAAAAATTTTTTTAAAAAAATGCATTCCCTTCTAAGAGTGTGTGTCTCCCCCTTCCCTCCTTCCCTCCCTCCCTCCCTCCCTCCTGGTTTTGTTATGGGACTAATAGGGCAAAACAAATCTTAGGAGAGTTGATTTAGTTCATTTTTATATGTGCTTATCTAATAAGCATATTCTTAACTACTAAGATAAGCCTATTTATACTTAATTTCTTAATTAAAAATTAAATAGTAAGTAAAAAATAAATATGAAAATAAAAAATTATTTTTAGGGCCTGTGATTTTTTTCTAGTAAAATAAATTTAACATTATTTAATACCTTATAAAAAGTTACTTGAACACAGTATATTGACTTCGAAGGATCTGCCTAAGTAAAAATTAGATAAAAGATAATTATTTGGGAATAGAATAGTCTTACAATGGGAAGTGCATGCCATTGTAAACTGAGAATATTCAGGGAGATTGACTCAAGGAGAAATTTTTAAAGGCAAAAGTGAGGAACATTGTGTCAGACATTTTGATATAATAATCCCTAGCCATAGTGATTAGTAACAAGAATGGCACCAGTAAGGTTAAGCATACAGATACTTTCACAGAAGTGCTTTATGTGGCTTTATGTGATCCTGGGTGAATCTTGGGATAATTACTTACTACTATCAGGCAGTCTTACATGAGAGCTCTCTTTTCAGAACCTCTAAGTAGTTTTATTATTAATCTTTTGGTTAGGGTTGACACAAGTGACTAGTTTGATTCCAGCAACTTTCACAAAGGTGATAGTCTAATACTTTAAAATTATTCTAATTTTTAACTAATTTTTTCTCTTTAGGGAAAACTCTCACTTATCTCTTCTTTAAATTATCGTCAAAGTGGAACAGCTATTTTGAAGTTTGGACTTCAAGGTTTGTGTGTTGGTAGACTTGCTTCTGCTTAGCTTTATGTCTGTAATCGATACATATGTAAATTTACATTCACATATAAACACATGTATATTGAACAATTTTTAATAAGTAATACATTCCCAGTAATCTAAAAAACTATATGCAGCAAAATGTTAGATTTTTTTCATAGCACTGGAGTTCAAACTTAAGGCCTTGTACTTAGTAGGCATGCGCATTACTACTTGCCTTATTCCTTCAGCCCTTTTTCCTTTAGTTATTTTTTCTGATAGGAACCATGATCCTCCTACATACAACTCTTACATGGCTGTATTACTGGTACCTCTTTCCACACCAGTTCATTTGTTGAGAGGTGTCTTGCTAACTGCATAAGCTGGCCTTGAACTGTGGTCCTGTCAGCCTCTACTTCCCAAGTATCTGTGATTACAGTCATGAGCCACTTTACCCAGTAATAATTATCTTTTCAATCTCTTTCATTTCTTCAATGTTACATTAAATTCTTGTGTTTTCATATCTAACTTTGTTACCTAACTGTTCTTCCTATTTCTGATTTTACTGATGAGACCTAGATATTTTAGTAACTTAACTTTCTTAACAGTTTACTTTTCAAGCCAGTCTTTTTCTCTTTTTCTTAGTCATCTTTCCTGGTAAGGCAAGAGCATTTGAAGGTTATAAAGTAGACCTCATGAAGTCTGTTATTAAGGCCAGGTGAAGTGGCTCATGCTGTGTGGGAGGTGGAGATCAGTAAGACTTTGAGGACAACCTGGACAAACACATTAGAGAGACCTCATCTTCACCAATAATCTAGGCACTATCTTGCATCCTGAATTCCTAGATATGTGAGAGCCATTGGTAGCCTCATCGTAGTCTGAGTCTATTACAAGACTATCCAGAAATTACTAAAGCATAAAAGGTTTGGGAGCATGGCTCAGGAACAAGTATGAGGCCCTGATTCAAGAATCACTAAAAATGAAAACAGAAATAATGTCCATAATTCATTTGAAGAATGGGGTGCAACATGATGGTAAACAGGTCACTGCAACATTCTGCAACTACTAAGAACCACCTATGAACGACACACTATCTTGGGACTGAGGACGCAGCAGTAAGTCACTTTCAGTGTGCCCATGGCTTTGCTGAATGCTTCCTTGCTTTTTATACTTCCTTAATACGCACATCCTATATTGACATTTCCTCATGTGGTTCTTCATGTTCACTTCAATTAGTTCTGCTGTGTGGTTGATCAATTTGAAAATTAACATCGCTAATCACTAGATCCTGGATTTGTATTATGGACAGGATTAGAAACAAAAGAAGTAACGCAATGTGTTCTTTGGTTTTGTTTTTTTTTTTTGGCTCTTATAACTTTGAGATTTTCAAGTGAAAGATAATGCACATTAGGTTGAAGCCTTATTGTTGAACAATAGCAATGTTTATGAACATACTTTTGGGGTACATTAGCGCATTCATTGTAACCTTGAAATTTCTCTGAAGTCTCTTTATTTCATTAAGTTTTTATCTAAACAGTTGGTGTCTTCTCTCCCAGCATGGATGTATCACAGTTTATAAAGCACAGTATATGTATATTTTAAAGAACCAGCTGTTTGTAATTTAAATAGAACAATTGAAGAAATAATGAGTGAACAATATATGAGACTCTGAACTGTTTAGTGTAGATTAATTATTTTGACCATGACTAGAAATGAAACATTTTGAGATGATCTATTAGACACTTCTAAATTTAATACTAGAATTTATTCACTTTCTTCTGGTTATAAACATAAGCATGAAATAACAGTAGAAGATGATTATTATATGATGTTATTTACAATAAAATTTCTATTTTCTGTTATTTCTATTTCTATTCTACTTGAAACTTGTTATAATTTTTATTTTAATGTCTAATAGCATTCAGCACATTATTTTTGCAGTATTTAAATTATAAATGCAAGCTAAAAGCTAATTGCAATTACTCTAATTTCTCCAGATTACATTTTGAAACTAACTTTTAAAACATAGTTATCATTTTGTTGTGTATATAAAAGTGATGTCTGTTTTTCTGTTTTCTCAACAGAGAAAGAAAATTCAAATTCAAAAGTCAGTATTATTTATATATTAGTTTTGGGAAAATTAGCAGAGGATTGCAGCAAAGTTTTCTTTAAAGGGGTAAGTATTTTATCTTTATTTCTTTGTAAGAGTTCAGAGTTATTAATCATGGTGTATTAACTTTTTTTGAGATTTGTCATACTTTTCATTATGTGTTTTAAAAAAAGATACCTAAAAAGTGACAGTATTAAACTAAAAAAGTCCTGTGATGGGTAAAATTGATTATTGGCATAGAAGAACAGTATCTTCTTTTGCTTTGTTCCAACTTATAATATTCAATTGAATGTCTAAAATTATGTATATATTTATTTAATAAATTTTAATGAAAATTCATATAAACTTATTTTCTGTTCATAATACTTTCTTACATTAAAAAAAAAGTTCATTCCTCTGGAATCCTAAACAAAGTAGTAACCAAGCTAACCAAGAACATGTGTGAAGACCCAGAAAAGCAAAGATGGTTCAATGTAAGAAAGCCAGTCCCTGAAATGCACACGTTACTGGAAGAAAAGGGAGAAAATCACATGATCATATCATTTGACACAAAAAAATATTTGATAAAAATTCACTCCATACCTTCCATGGGTAAAACACTCAGAAACTAGAAATATATAGAATTTCCTCACCATGATGAAGTGTTTTTATGAAGATCATATAGTTCTCAGTAATGAGATACTGAAAGCTTTCTCTCTAGTATCAGGAACAAGATAAGGATGCTTGCTCCACCATTGATAATGAACATTCATGCCATTCTTAAGTTGTACCTTTAAGAACGGAAGCAGTAGGGTATGGAAATGGCTCAGCAGTAGAGTGCCTGCATGACAATCCTGCCTGGAGGCCCTGAGCTGAAACTCCAGTAATGTAAAAAAAAAAAAAGAAAGAAACTAATGGAGACAGCAAATTTTGTTGTTAGATTTTCTTAGCCTAAATAAAAGAAATGTATCCACATGCAGTAACTTAGTAAATACATGATCACAAATGAGACTGTGTGTGACATAGTCCCCTATAGTAGCATCATCTGTTTTCATGGATTAAAACCCCTATATCCACACTGCCAGTAGCGTAGCCACTACTGATGTGTGGCTTGGGATGTACTTGGTGTGGCTGAGGAAATAAGGCTGTACATTTTATGCAACCTGAATTTAAATAGTGACTAACAAATTTGCTGGCTAATTGATACTTAGTTCAACAGGTTAGTCACTCTTTGGTGGATAATCTTAGAGATTTTTTTATACAAATATATTAAAATTAATTTTTAAACTATATAAAAACTTTAATCAGTCAGCAGTTAGTATCCAAATAAGCTGTTTAGCATTAGAGCTTTCTTTTATGTAATATTGCATAAATATTAAAAATATGATTTCAATCTATTTTGAATAAGGTTATTACAAGTAAGTAAATGACATATGGGGAAAATCTCTACTTTGTAAAAAAAACTACAGTTTCAAGTGATATTGTCTATATTGTATCTCTATTTTCACTTGCATTCATTTAGACTCAGTAAACATTTATTAAGGGTTGACATTTTGAAAGACACTGTGCTAACCTCTAGAGAAACTAAATTAATAAGATACAGTGTTTGACCTTATGGAAACCACTATCTCCAGTCTAATGGGAAATCACTGAATGATGGTAATTATAATAAGAAAGCTAGGGTAGCAGCTTCAGTAAACTATGAATCTGCCTAGAGGGTTTCTGAAAGGATTCAAATTAGTAAACTTCTTGTATTTCTTATCAGTACATTTTATTTTTAATGAAACATTTTATTAGGTGTTAAGCATTTTATTATGGAAAATTCCAAAACAAGTAGAAACAATTATATAGAGAATGTCCATATATCTTTCATATAACTTCATTAGTTCCTGTCTACTTTATTTGTCATATCTTCAACTCACTTTACTATTTGCAATAATTTGAGGCAAACTGAAGAAACTATATAATTTCACCAAAATTTCATTATGTAAAGTAGACACCAAAACTATACATAGATGTATATTGTACAACAACTTATATAAAGAATGGTACTGTGTGTCACAGTAACATTAGTCCACCAAACATTAACCTTAGTTTTGTAATACTATAAAGTATTGATGAACTTAATGTCTGTACACGCATCTATGTATCTTTCTTTTTAGTTAGGCATACTACAGTTTTATTATTATACCTGAAAAAAATTGACACCAATTCTGTTAAATAATAAAATGTGAAGTCAGGATTCCTTTTTCTCTGATAATTTCACAAATTATTATTCATTTTCTTTCCTTCTGTCAGAGTAGCAGCTGAGGTAGGGAAATCACTATGGAGGCTTTATAGTACTTGAAACTAAAGCATGGTAGAACTGGAGTGAAAATGATTTTTTACATGTGTTTGCAAGCTTTTAGTAATCAGTGAGCTTTTTTTTCAGTTTTTCAAAACAACACAAATGTCTATGAGAATATCTGCTCCCTAAATTCTTTTTCTTGTACTAAGTAAATAGTTGAACTAAAACAGTTGTTCTTTATAAGAATACCTTATTGATTGTGTTAATTTACAGTGACATATGTATGGCTCATATTCACTGTACACAGTGAAATGTCTTGCTAGAAAATTAAACTCATAGCTTTTGAGAGGAAATCTTATTAGAAATTCTGAAATATTCTTTAATCCATTAAGTTTTTTTTAAAATTCTGTATCTTATTTAGGGAAAGTGTATAAATTACTGACACATATATGTATATGGAGCTAGAAAAATTGAGGGGATGGGTAGGATTGGGAAAGATGGGGAGAATTATAAAAGGGTGACATTGATCAAGATAATGAAAATACATTGTATTCACAAACTGAAATGTTGAATTGAAACCCCTATATGCAACTTAATAAAAGGTAATTTAAAAAATGATTAAAATTAAAGCTTTTGATGTTTACATTGTATGAGAAAAAGGAAGCAATTGTAGACAAAGCAAAAAGTAGAAGCACTAAAATGATTTGAAGATCATTCTTAATCACAACATTTTTTGTTGCTCTTACAATTAAAAACACATGAATATGTGAATTGTGCAGACACTTTGGCAATATTTGGGATCTGCTGGTTTTCCTGACAGAATATTTAATTCTTAACTTCTCTTAAGGCAAATTTAAATGTTATCTTACAGTTCCTTGAAATGTTTCCTTCATATCAACTGATCTGGTTGTAGCAATCATACAATAGATAGCTAGTAGTTTTTTAATGAGTTGTAGCATTAGTCTAGGTGAACCACCTGAATAATTGTAACAATGCTAACCATGAGAAGAATGTCCAGGATTATCATTTAGCCAGTAGGCACATATATACCGGTAGAACTATTGAAATAACTGAAACAGTTTTTTATTATATGATAACTTTTTTTTTTGAAATTTCCAAAAACTCCTGTCATTCCATTCAGGAGCCTTGTTGTGATTTTCCTGTTCCATTCCCCAAACAGAGAAGAGACTGAAGGCAGTGCTTGTGTTGTGGTTGGTGTCTGTCCATCTGTGGTGTGGCCCCTGCCAGCTTTATAGGAGCTAGACTAGACTCCCAGTAGTTCTTTACTTAGTAAACATATACCTTTCCAAGTAAAGGGTGCTTTGGAGAAAATAAAGCAGTTGAAAAGAGATAAGGTAGACAAGTAGAAGGAACGTATACTTTTATCTGGTAACAAAAATTAATAAGGTGACATTTGAGCACAGACTTGAAGGATGTGAAGAACAATCCTCCAGATACTGGAAGTAAAAGGCTCTGAGTGCTTGTTTTCAGGTACAGCAGTGGTTATGGTTCCTTAACATTCAGCACTTTGTTTTCTGGTATTTTGAGTGGAGATAACAAACTTTTCTCCACAGTTGTTAGGATGTAAGAACATGGTAGGTATGTATTCCAAGACAGCTTTTATTTTGCCTTCTAATTACATACAGATAATGAGGGTGGGACAGAGAGCAACATCTGGAACTTGAACCCATCAGTCTGGGCTCTCGGTTCTGCTTTGCCTACAGTTAATTATTTTACTCTCTGAATACCTCCAGACTGAAATGTAATCAAAGTTCAACTGGTGTTGGATTAGCTGACAATGCTGGATGGCGAGACATACTACATTCAGAGAAATTATGATGATTTATAAATAATTCGTTGTGTTGGGTGATGATGCTATTTGCACAAAACTTGTCTTTACAAGTCAGAGGTCTCTTTTGTTTCACAATGAAACTGTTAAGAGTGTCTATTTCATGCACAAAAATTTTATAGATACAATGCCAAAGTTAAATTTCACTTTTTTTTGGTCTTTGATGAAGAAGTGGTATTATCAGTTATTTTTCCTAATGTTCATATTTAACAGAGGAAAAGATAATCAGTGTAGTAGTATTTTTCTTTATGCAAGTCTGTTTATTAAGTCAATAGTATAAACTCAAAATATTTCTTTAGTCTTTGAGGAAGTTAAGCGCTATAAGCTTGCTATACATTTCATGTCCTAAATTTTCATCACTTCAGCTAGACAACTTCAGCTAGGTAATCCTAGCTACTCAGGAAGCTGAGGTCTGAAGGCATTCAGTCAAAGCCAGCAAGGGCAACCAAGTCCTGAGTCCAGCTTCAAAATAACTAGTAAAAAGCCCGACTGGAGGTATGGGTCAAGTATAGAGTGCTAGCCTAGCAGGTCTGAAGCCTCATGTTTAACCTTGGTACGGCTAGAAAACAAACCAAAACAAACACCTTTTTTTTTTTTTTTGGTGGTCTTGGGGCCTGAACTCTGGACCTGGGTGCTGTCCCTCAGCTATTCAGCTCAAGGCTAGCGCTCTACCACTTGAGCCACAGCGCTACTTCTGGTTTTCTGAGTTGTTTATTGGAGTCTCAGAATTTCCTGCCTTGTGATCCTTGAATCATGATCCTTGTATCTCAGCCTCCTTAGTAGCTAGGATTACAGGTATGAGCCACAACTGCCTGGCACAAACACCTTCTTACCAGACGACCACTTATTTTAGGATGATAACTATAGTAATTTTAGATACAATATTTAAAATTTTTCTTGAGCTATAGTTTTACTCTCCTTGCTGTTGGATAGAGAAGTTCAAAACACAACTATACCAAAAAGACCTTACATGACAGTCTTTATAAAGGAAAGATTCTAAAAAATAAAACAGAAAATCTGTATAGTGGCCCAGACTAAATCTGTTCAGTAGCACAGACTGTATACTGGAACATAATAAATGTTAATAAATGTCACTGTGAAATGTGAAATATTAGAACAGAAGCCTGAGAAGAAAAAGAGAAAACCTATAAGCCATTAAAAAATAATAGTAGCTTTTACTTGGTGACATTGCTTTCTCAGTATGTCTGAATTTTGAGATTTGCTATCATTTAAATTCCATTTGATTACTGAGAGATTATGATCTCATTATGCTTTTTCATGTAGCTTACTTAGATGAACTCAGAAGTCCTAATAAATAGTAAGTGATTTAGTGTTTTCATGGTCCATGTAGTGAGTATTTCATTTATCTGTGTCCAATTGTGGCAATAGATGTTGAAGGATTATAGAGGAGTAGTCATCTAAATTGTATATTCAGTAAGCATTAAAGCATTTTAGATTTTATACAGAAACCATTTTGTACAGTATCTCCCATTTATATGTAATGTAAATAGGCTTTATATGATACTTAAAACTATAGATTCAAAGATTCAGTAAAAATTTTTCATATGTAGGACACCATTGCAGTGACTGGATTTACTGTATTGTCAGCATCTTCATCAACAAATAAAAATGCTAAACATTGCATGTATGTAAAAATATTGGAAGACCTCAGTTCATCTGTTTACGTAAGTATGTATTTTTTTCTCTGCTCATAGTCATGTTAGTGAACTAAATTAGGAAGACATATGATAGACATAGAATTTCTGGAAATGTTTAGTTAACCAGCAAAATGCTAAACTGGAGATGTGGCTGTAGTGATTTGTGCCATTTCTGAATGAGAAGTGCTCAAAGCCAGTTGCTTAAGCATTAGTACTAATACTAGCAGGAAACACAAAACAAATAGAACATTTTTTTCCGTTTGCTACATGCTAGATATCAGTTCAAAATTCAAACAAGTATATTTTGGAGCACCATTTTCTGAGTCAAGTTGAATATTTTAAGTGTAAAAGATTGAAATTTGGTGGGTTTTATCAGGCATATGTCTTTATTATTCACAGTGGAAGTAGATTTCATCTTTTTCTTTTTTTTTTTTTTTAGGTTTATCCTAAGTCTATAAGAGGTTGTCACACAGAATCGATGTCTTTGGTAAGATATTTCACTTAATTTAGAATGTACTTAGACACACATACACATATACCCACTCTATATTCTGACCTGCTTTAGATTATATTTTAAATTAGTCTGCTTTATAGTCTATATTTGAAATAGTAACAATTCAATGGGAAAATATAATTCACTTTTTTATATGTCTGATAGTATTATATTTACTTGTCTAATAATTTTCACCTGATTATTCCACTGTCTGAAGAACTTACTGATGTTTTGCTTAAGCTGTGAATACACAAATTAAAATAAAAATGTATATACTATATAAAGCATTGAAATTTGATGACTTTTAAACTGTAGGCAAAATCATTCCTTTTGTTTTTATTAGCTTATAATTAAACCAGTTATTATGAGGTGAACTGTACTTTGACAAAGTATGTAGTTTTAAGTAAAGAAATTCTTTCCCATTTCTTTATCAGCATGTATTAGATGTACTCAGGGTTTTGATGTGATGTTTCCAGGTATACCTAGTGCATACCCTCTCAAGCCTGTGTCCTCTATGTATCAGAAGAGTTCAGCAGATTTCACGGTTCTAATTTCATATACGTAGATAGACCACTTCCACCATATTCATATCTCATACACTGCCGCGGACCGGGTTCTGTCGGGACGACGGAGGACACCTAGGGGAGGAACCTGGAATAGGATGGGGAGATGGCAAACAGACAACTCACACACATTAGGAGTGGATGCTGAGTGCGATTTAATGCAGAGGATAACAAACTTTTATAGCAAAAAGTCTCCATAAGAAAGGGTAAAAGGTTACACAATATTGCTGCAAGGCTTCGTTCTTGGATGGTCACCAACTGGTCGCCTGAAAGGGCAAAAGTTTACACAATCTTGCTGCAGCGCTTCATTCTTGGGTGGTCAACAGCTGGTCGCCTGAAAGGCACTTGTTTCCGGCTTATCTCTAAGAAATATAATGGGTTTGTCACCATTTAACCATTACCTTATTTTTATAGAGGCCTTAATTGTCCCATAGGATTTTTCCTTCCTGTTCCTTCTTTAATAATAAGCACCAAGGAGACTTAGATCTAGCAAGTCTCTTAGTAAATGAGAGAGTAGTAGGAAGTTTTTTCTCCTAAGTAGTTATCTCAGCAATTGCCATACATTCCTTCTGTTCTAGTTGCCCTACAGCTTCTTGTAAGTTTCTTACAAACAATTCCTTCTGCTGACATGACTTGGTGAAACCCCCAATACTTTTATATTTGCTTATGGCTTGTCTACTAGCCTCCATAAGAGAGGTTTCAGGGTAGCACATAACTCTGGTGAGTTAGTCATATTTTTAAGACACTCATCAGATATTGGAGTCGTCAACACTCTTAAGAAAGAGCTTTGTATAGGGAAACGTTGACAATGAGCAAGTACAAAGAGCAGTAGAAACAGTAAAAGATTAATAGGCACTCTTATGAGGAAAAGATAGGCAGAAACACATCTTTTCCAGGGGTTTTGCCAGCCTTTTCCCAGGAGTAGGCCTCTTAGAAGCCCTATTCTCTGAGGTAGACTTCGGTGAAGTCCCAAAACTTGGAGATAGGTTTCTGTAAAGCCCCATTCTCTGAGGTAGACTTCGGTGAAGTCCCACAACTCAGAGATAGGTCTCTGAAGCCCCTATCATGGTCTGATAGATGGTTTCCCATGCTAAGCAGACTCCACTGGGGTCAGCGTGGCATTTGCCCCTTTTTTTTTTTTTTTCAAATGACCCCAGTAGAGTCTGCTTAGCATGGGAAACCATCTATCAGACCATGATAGGGGCTTCAGAGACCTATCTCTGAGTTTTGGGACTTCACCGAAGTCTACCTCAGAGAATGGGGCTTTACAGAAACCTATCTCCAAGTTTTGGGACTTCACCAAAGTCTACCTCGGAGAATAGGGCTTCTAAGAGGCCTACTCCTGGGAAAAGGCTGGCAATACACTCTCCTTTTATTTTCCTTTTCCTGCTGGTCTTCAACCCCAAGTAAAACCTGTTTTACATTTTTTCCTGTGTTTTTTAAGAACTGTATTCCATATGAGAAAGAGAGAGAAAGAAAGGGAGAGAGAGAGAGAAAGCATGTGTTTTTCTGACTTATTTTGCTTAACATGATGATTTCTAGTTCTGTCCGTTTTCCTGCAAGTGGTGTAATTTTATTCTTTCTGAATGAAAATGCTTCATTCTTTTATCTACTTGATATTTTCACACTTTAAAAAAAATTTTACTCATTAATCACTTGATGTGCACTTAGGCTGATTTCTTATCTTGTGTACTGAAAGTAACACTGCTATCAACCTGGGTGCACCTGAATGTTGATTGTAGGCTGATACAACATTCCTTCAGATGTGTGCCCAAGAATGGTATGGCAAGATCAGATGCTAGCTCTATCTTTAGTTTTTTAGGGATCTTCCATATTGATTTCTTGTTCTTTATACTTGTGATACATATTGCTTTCTAGCTTGTTACTTTTAACTATTTTTTTCACTGTCCTATAAAATTTTGCCTTAGCAATAGGAACATTAACTTTTTTGTGTGAAAATACCATACAGAAGAGTTACAATTACATCGCTAACGTTTTTATAATTAGGCTACTAGTAGGTAGATGAAACTGAAAGAAAGTAATATATTCATAAAGTTTTCTATGATGTTTATGCCTGACTCTGTGTTTAAATCTTTAGTTTCTAATGGACAAACAGATGTCTATTTGATAATGACTATGAGAGATTTTCAAACTTGAATAATAGTATAAGTAAAATTTTTTTTTTAGAAAGTAGACAATAAAAGAGTTGAAGTACTGCTGGGCGCTGGTGGCTCACTCCTGTAATCCTAGCTACTCAGATGGCTGAGACTTGAGGATCACAGTTCAAAGCCAGCAGGGGCAGGAAAAGTCCGTGAGACTCTTATCTACAATAAACCACTACCGGAAATGGTGCTGTGGCTCAAGTGGTAGAGCCCTAGTCTTGAGCTGAAGAGCTGAGACACAGCACCCAGGCCCAGAATTAAAGCCCCGCTACCAACAACAACAACAAAAAAAAGTTGAGGTACTTTATTAAATGTCAGTTGGCCCTGGATATTATTATTCCCTAATATTTCTACAGACTGATCAACTTCAAATACTGATATACCTGTGAACCAATAAATAAGGTAGAAATAAAAGTTTCTGAACTTGACAAAAGTAGCCAGATACTCTGAATTATATAAATGATGTACAGATAATGTTGGACATTATTTTCCTGACTCTAAGGTACTTATTTTGTGTTTTCATATTTTGAATTAAGTATGAGTCATCTCTGTTCAGTTGATACCAAAACCCTGGGGCTGGGCATCAATCTTTACACCTATAATTATGGTTTGAAGTCAGCCCAGGGAGACAATCCGTTAGACTCTCATCTTCAATTAACCATCAAAAAGCCAGAAGTAGAGATGTGGCTCAAATGGTAGAGCAGCAGTCTTGAGGGAGAAATCCATGAGAGCCCAAGCCCTGAGCTGAAGCTCAGTACCATCTCACACACACACACACACACACACACACACACACACACACACACAAGGAAAAGAATATCATGTATAGTTTTCTTAATTTTTTAAAATTTTCTTAAGAATGGACTAATATTTTCAAGCCAAAGGTGCATTTTTAGAATTTAGAAAATGAGACTATTTTGTTTTATAGTAATGGCAAAGCCTGTTGTTTTCATGCAATGAAGGACAATCATTTGTTCTTGTTCAGTCTTGAAGATATAAGTATATTTGATTGGCTTATTTGCTTTCAATACATAAGACAGACAATCTTATGTTAAACCAGCCTATATATTCCTGTCCAACCTACTCATTAATTAGATACAATCATTGTATTCTAGCCATGTACATGTGGAGTTTTCAAACTTACCGAAATTGCTTTCTCTGCTTAGAGCAGTCTTTATCTTATTATCACTTTTGAGGACTTTCTGAGAGTATGCTTTAGCACTCAACTCCTTGAAGGGACTTAAGACCACTTTATTTAAGTCATCTCTCTGTTTTTATGGCCTGTTCTTCTATTTGTTTAAGCTCTGGAAAAGGTTAAGCACTGAAAAAGGAGGGGAGAGAGAAAGAAAAAAAGAGAGGGAGGGAGAGAGAATATATACAGATAGATGTCTTAGGTTTATGATTGTTGTGCTTGATCTCTACAATTTAACTTCTCAGTTTTATTTACAAATTTCTCTACAGTTATCTCTATAATAAAACTTTCTAGATTTTATTATTACTCCTCCTCCTCTTTTACCTACTATTGTTGCCACTACTACTTTCTTATAGTTCTGGGGCTAGAGCCCAGGACCTTGTGTATGCTAGGCAATACTCTATCATTGAACTTCCTCCCATTTCCCAATGGTCAGATTTTCTTGACTGAGTTAATAATGGTCTGGCTTGTAAGGTATTAGAACATGCAAAATGAAGCTATTTACTAAATATTTTTGAAAATATCAGATTATCTTTAGCTTATTATAAGCCCATCATTTTCTCATGAATCTTTTAGTTGTTTACAGAATATTTTCATCTATGCTTAGTCTGTAGCAACTGTTCACATGCACTTTTTGCTATTTAAAATTCAGAGCTAGGAGTGGTGGCTCCTATCTATATTTCTAGCTATCTCAGAGGCCGAGATTTGGATCTTAAACTGAGATCAGTTTAAGGCTAGCCTTGAGAAAATGCTAACTAACTATGGTGGTACATTCCTGTCATCCTATTTATGAAGCATAAATAGGAGTATCAGGTTCCAGGCCACCCTGAGAAAAGGAAGGCTCTATTCAAAATTCAATGAAAGCCTAAAGATCTAATGGTATGGCTCGGTGGTAGAGCACCTGCTTCACAAGCACAAGACCCTAAGTTCTTACAAACCCCAGTACCATCAAAATAATAAAAGTAAAAGCACTAAAATTTAGTTCATAAAAAATGCTAGTCACATTTATATTCTTTATTGTACTATTGTTATAGGACATATCTTTGTCACAGGAGCTTTTATAGTTGACACTGATAGTCTAGATCTTTGGGGATTATTTATAGAACAAAGATATACATCAACAGGCATTGCCATCTGAAGATGCCTTTTTACCTAGGACTTGGTAAGATCTTGTAAATATATGCCTATTATCATAGATGTTAGACATAGAACTTTTGTATCAGCCTTGCTAAAATATTTGCTGTCTGAATCCTGATACGTAATGTCATTTACAATCTCTTGCAAGTGCTGTTCTCTTTGTGCTTTTTGTCCATACATACTTGAATGTATCACTTTCAGAAAGAGCTTGGTCATCCTTCTACTTAGGTACTACGACTATATGTTTACCCAGCACACATTTGTCCTTTAAGTTCAAAGTGATTTGGGTATCTCTTCTAGTCATTGGTTGTTTTTTTTTAAAATTTAATTTTATTTTGTAATGATGCTGTACAGAGGGGGTTATAGTTATATCATCAAGGTAATTAGTACCTTTCTTGTGGAGCATTGTTACCCTTCTTTTGTTTTTCTCCTGCTATCCCTTCCTCCTCCACATCCCTCACTTCTCCCCCCTCCCCCACTGCCCCAAAGTTGTGAAGTTCATTTCCAACATAGTGTTTTGTGAGTATCATTGTTGCAATGAGTCATCCTGTGTTCTTTTTTTTTTCTTTTTGTCGGTCGTGGGGCTTGAACTCTGGGCCTGGGCACTGTCCCTCAGCTCAAGGCTAGCGCTCTACCACTTGAGCCATAGCACTACTTCTGGCTTTTTTCTGCTTATGTGATGCTGAGGAATCGAACCCAGGGTCTCATTCATGCGAGGCAAGCACTCTACCACTGAGCCACCTTCCCAGCCCCTATTCTGTGTTCTTGTTTCAGCATTTTGTTATTCCCCTTTCCCTCCCCAAATTAGATAAATGTATGTACAAGATGCAAGGTGCCAAAATCAAATACAGTGACAACAGGGATAAACCATAGGAGGAAGAACGTACAAAAGAAACAAAACAAAACAAAAAATCACATACTATATTAAAAACAACAACAAAGAAAAATCTCTTGTGTCCATATCTTGGGTTTCATTTTGCTTAACATCAACTTATATGGTCATATGTACATAGCTTTTGAGCTTTTCTCCTCATCTGATAAGATTATCCTAGACATATACTAATTATTGCAAATAAGAGAAACCATGGGACCGATATTCTTTGGGTGTGGCTTACTTAATATAATTTTTTCCAAGTCTTTCCATTGGGGTGGAGTCATTCATTTTGATGGAGGCATAGAATTCCATGGGTGTGTGTGTGTGTGTGTGTGTGTGTGTGTGTGTGTGTGTGTGTGTGTGTGTGTATCACATTTTCTTGCTGCATTCATCTACTGAGGGGCATCTGGCTTGTCATTCATTTTGATGGAGGCATAGAATTCCATGGGGGTGTGTGTGTGTGTGTGTGTGTGTGTGAGATGGAGGCATAGAATTCCATGGGTGTGTGTGTGTGTGTGTGTATCACATTTTCTTGCTGCATTCATCTACTGAGGGGCATCTGGCTTGGTTCCATATCTTAGCTATGGTGAATAATGCTGCAATAAACATAGTTGGACTGGTACTTGTGCTGGTAGCTTTAGTATGGCCTTGTTTGTGATTGGGTAAATGCCAAAAATTGGGATTGCTGGGTCATAGGGGAACTCTATGTGGAGTCTTTTGAGGAACCTCCATACTGCTTTCCTGAGTGGTTGAACAAGTTTACACTCCCACCAACGGTGCAGTAGGGCTCCTTTCTGGCCACATCCCCTCCAGCATCTGTTGTTACTAGAGTTCTTGATCATAGCCATTCTAACTGGGGTGAGGTAGAATCTCAATGTTGTTTTGATTTGCATTTCTTTTATGACTAGAGAAGTTGAGCATTCATGTGTCTATTGGCCATTCTATTTCCTCTTCAGAAAAGTCTTTAGCCCACTTATTAATGGGGCAGTCAAATCTTCTAGTCATTCTTATGGAATCATACTCTAATTATTAGCATGGAAAAAGAATGATTAGGCAGATAGGGCTTTTGAAATTATTATATAAGTTTATTGACCATGTTCCCAAATACATGTTCTCTTGCAAGTCCATTGACAAAAGTTGTAAGAGACTAAGAAACTGAAATGTCAATTTATTAATATATAGTGAAAGCTGTAACTTTACCTGCTGTGTACAGAACAGTTGATGGTTTCCATGGAAAGATACATTAATAACTAACAGTTTTTTTTGTCCTATGTTAGCAACGCCAGTTACTTGGAAGATCATGATTATGAGCCTCCATGAGCTATGCTAGCCTTCCCATTTTTTTTTTTCTGTTATTAGTGAGATACTTGTTCACATAGAGTACTGGGTTCTGTCATCTTGTCAGCTGAGGTACATTTCTTTTCTCTTTTAAGCATAATATTTTTCCTTTATCACTGATGAGCTACAGCTTTCTTTTAAAGCCTGATTAGACTTTTAGGACCTCATTTTTTGTGTGTATGATTTAAGAAATTAGCCTCCCTTAAAAAGGGAATTCATTTTTATTTGAATTTTAAAAAAATTAACATTCAGTATGATGAATAATCATATTTCAAATTGGAGTGTGTGGGTTTGATGTTGCTGCCAATGATTTAATATTGCTAGTACTATGATGATGAATCCTTGCAAACTGCTTTTTTTCTACATTTATGCACAGTTGTTTATAACTACTTTGGGAGTTATAGAAGTACTTATTTGAAGACAACTATAATAGTTTAATTACTAAAAGTCTCTTTAGTAGAATACAGAAAAACTTTGTATACTTACAGCAATCCATTAGAATATTGGCAGCACCAATATTTTTTTTTGCCCTTTTAGATATCCTGAAATGTCTTCATTTATACTTCAATCATTTCCTTTTTGTAAAGTCTGTCCTTACATTTCTATTATTGAAGATATATATATTTTATAAGTATTTTTTATTTTGTGATATTTCTTCGATTTATATATTAGCTACTGGTACTTTAATATATTATTCTCTGCTTTCTTATTGTAGAATTATAATGTTTCAATTAAATTATAAGTTAATTATGCATGAATAGTCTAGTGTGCCAATTAGACCTCTTTTGTTGTTGTTGTTGGTCATGGGGTTTGAACTCTGGGCCTGCTCGCTGTCCCTCAGCTCTTCAGCTCAAAGCGAGCGCTCTACCACTTGAGCCACAGCACCACTTCTGTTTTTTTGGTGGTTTACTGGAGATAAGAATCTTCCAGACTTTGTTGCCTGGGCTGGCTTTGAACCACGATCCTCAGATCTCAGCCTCCTGAGTAGCTAGGATTACAGGCATGAGCCACCGGTACCTGGCCAATTGGACCATTTTTAAATGGAAGTTTTTCTTCAAAATAGTAGTTTATATTCTAACTTTATAACCTGTGTATTTCTTTTTTTCAGCTTACATTTTTAAACACTTAAAAGGATAAAATACAGTTTTATAAATATTAGTTAACAAATATGCTCATGATTCTAAAATTGTGAATACTTAATTATGTAATTCTGTCTTTCCTTTTTTTAGGTTCCAGCAACAAAGTATATTTATACACCACTGAATCAACTTAAGGGTGGTACAGTTGTCAATGTCTATGGTGTAGTGAAATTCTTTAAGCCTCCATATCTAAGCAAAGGAACTGGTAAGTAGTAAAATATGTGATGTTTTGATGTAATTTCAGTGTTGGTTTCAGGAACACAGCTCTTTCAGTATTCTAAGTTTTAGAACAGAAGCCCAGTTCTGATTGCTAATTGCCAAACAACTCTGATACATATTCTTTGGTATGTTAATGTAAAACAATCAATGGTCTTTAGATTTTGTCATCTACTTTAAGAATAAATTGTAAAGAAGGGTGCTAAAGAGCACTATGAAAGCATGAGAACTTACAAAATTCTTTGAGAAAAGTATATATTTAAAGAAATTCAGACATTAAATTCCTATAATATTGGTATATGAAGATTGTGAATGAACAACTTACATCCAAGGAAGTAAAAATATATACTCAAAAAAGAAGTAGAAAAGGAAATACTAATAATGAAGAGTAGAAATAAAAAGAATAGTAAAAGCTTGGGAGGAGAAAAATTGACAAATTTTTACCTAGTTTAAGAAAAAAGAGACTGAAAATCAGAAGTGAAAGTAGCAAATTAACAACTTTTGCTACTGAAACATAACAATGATTTTCTTAAAAACTACCTATCCTAATTCCTGAAGAAAGAAAAAAGATGAATAGACCTAGAACTAATAGCGAGATTAAATCAGTAATCAAAAGCACCCTAAAAGAGAGAAAAGCCCAAGACCAGATGGCTTCACTGAAGCATTCTGCCAAATATTTAAAGAAGAATTAATGCCAGTCCTTCTCAAATTCTTCCAAAACATTGAAAAGTAGGGAACTCTTCCAATCTCATTTTATGATTCCAGCATTAACCTGATACCAAAATAAAAGACTACAAAATTGAAAGCTGTCTGAATGTAAATATAGAAACCTTCAAAAATATATCTGTAAGCTGAATTCAATTGAATGTTAAAACCATTCCATAGTTAGGTTTTGTTTTTCACTGTTGATTCATTTTTTTTTAACTTGATAGAAGCTTTTTGGTTTGACCTAGTTCCTCCACTTATTTCTACTATTATTTATTGTTACTTGGCAGCCTCAGATTTTGGTGTCATTTCCAGGGTCAGTATTGGTAAGGATGTGGAAAAAATTGGAACCTTTATGCACTGTTGTTGAACTATGAAATGGCACAGCTACTATAGAAAGCATATTTGGTTTTCCTACTTCTGATCCATCAGTTCAACTTTTACATATTTATCAAACAGAATGAAATTGGGATCACGAAGAAATATTTGTACTCCCATGTTTACTGTAACATTATTCACCATAGATAGCTTATGGAAGCAGTTTAAATGCCCATGAAGGAAGGGATACATTAAATAAAAGGGAAGGCAGGGGGCATATACATGGAGTTCAATTCTGTTCAGGTTGTAAAAGAAGTGAATCGTATCATGAGGCAACGTGACTGAATCTTCACTGCAGTATTGCTAACTGAAGAAAAACCAGTCCCAGGTTTTAGACATTTATATTAGGTATCTAAAGTAAATAGTCCCAGAAGAAGAAGAAGAAAAAAAAAAAAGGTAGTTTCCAGGAGCCATGGGAAGAGTAACAAGAAAGTTGTAGTTAAGTGGATAGAAACTTCCAGTTATTCAAGATTAAAAAAAAAATTAGAGACCTATTACATCTATTGTAATGTAACACATTTTATTGAACACTTAAAATTTAGTGGTAAAAGTCCTGTCTAGATAGCATAAAACACTGAGTACAAATTTCAGTATTGCAAAAAATGAAAAAAAATTATTAAAATAGCAAGCATCAGATGTCATATTTCATTTGTGTGTCTATGTGCATGTACATGTGCATACCTATATGTGTGTGCCTGTGCCTGTACTGTGGCTTGAATATTGGGCCTGAGTGCTATCCCTTAGCTTTTTTGGTCAAGGTTGACACTCTAACACTTAAGATATAGTTCAACTTCCAGCTTTTTGGTGGTTAATTGGAGATAACTGTTTGACAAGCAATGTACTCATTATCTTACTTATGTAATTGTAACCCCTCTGTACATCGCCTTTACAATAAAATTAGATAAAATTTAATTTAATAAGAAAGTCTAATGCACTTTTCTACCCAGCCTGGCTCAGATCTTAGCCTCCTCAGTAGGTAGGATTTCAGTGTGAGCCATCAGCACCCAGCCAGACCTCATGCCTTTTATACTCTCCTTACCCATGAAAAAAAGGATAAGAGAAGAAATTATACAATTTGATATCAGAGCTATGTAATGTTTTGATCTATATTCCTGGGTAAATTTTAAAAGTACAATCTATGATAATGTAAAACTTTAAGCAACAAACACCTGAAGGGCACATTAAAATCCATGACTTTAGTTTGTTTTTGACAGAGCATACATGCTTTGCTTCAGTTTAACTCAGTTCAACAAAATTATACATTGTTACATATCTCATATATGTAACTTCATAATTTCTTTTTTTAATTTAATTTTATTGTCAAGGTGATATACAGAGGGGTTACAGTAACATATGTAAGGTAGTGAGTACATTTCTTGTTGAACATTTTTACCCGCTCCCTCATTTTCTCTCACTTTCCCGAGCTCCCAATGCTCCCCTCCTCATTCTTAGAGACACTATGCATCATTAAGAATAGAAGACACCACCAGTAAAACTATGCTTTCTGTTCTTAAGAGGAATATATACTTCAGAATTGATAAGAGTATGTAGCAGTCTGCGTTGTTGAAGAAATCCTCTTTCTGTACAGCATTGCAGGAGCCTGCTGGGAACACAGAAATGTATTTATGAAGTTCATTATAAACTTACATGCATGTAAATTTTATTTTTGACATATGAGCTAGGTGTGAGTACATGGAATGGGAGCCACTCACTTTTACCATCAAAGTTTCCTAGAAGCTTAAATGTTCTCTTTGGGGATTAATAAAAAGTGTGATCACCATTACTGTGATCCTCTTCCCAGTTGTTAGCTTTACAAATGTGGCCTGCCACAAGACAATTCTACCTTATTGCTAATGATGCCTAACTGGGTAAGAGAAAATATAAAAACTTTTTTTGCAATTGATAGGTAGTTAATTCTTGTTTTTGAAATATTTAATTGATATACAAAGATAAATGCACATTATCAAATGCAAATTAAAATGATAAAATAGAATAAAATAACAGCTGTTCTTAAAAAAAACACTGATGAATTTATTTATTTATTTTTAGTTACTAGTACCAGTGCCGTGCTATCTTTTGATATGTTGTTAAATCCTGGGTAAAAGCAAAAGTTCTGGGGAACTATAGTATTTATCATATATATGCATGCGTATCTTACATTTCTGTCAGTTAAGTGATAAGTTTCGTTGAATCCAGTCCCTTGTTAGAAAGAAAATTGATGGCTAGTAATGAACCATCTGTTATTGCAGTGATAATATGTTTCTTTGTTTCTTCTGAGATGGTAAATTAAAATGAATGCCATCAATTTTATCTGAACATAGTCATTGAAACTTTAAAATTAATCTTTCAGACATAGCAAGACATCACTACTAGCCTGATTTTCAGTTTTAAAACTATCTATCTCATAGCTTTAGTTACACTTACATTTTTATTTCCATTGACAGAACTCATCCTTCAACAGGAGTAAATTTCAGGAGAGTCAGACAAATAGCAACAATACTTGTGTTCAGGAAAAGATCACCTTCATTATTATTACCACAGAAAAGCACTAGAATGAATGTTGAGGAGTAGTGCACAGCTGTCCATTTTTTCACATTGCATAAATCAGTAGGTCATGAATATGGCAGCACAGTCTTAATATATGCAGTTACCTAACTGGGTCAGTAGATAAAATCTCTCACCATACCGTGCACATTTTTACTTTATATTCTGTTATATTTCATTACCTAGCATCCAATTTTTTATAAATGTTAAATTCAGTGTAATCGAAGCAGATACAATGTGATGTCCTTGATTACACTTTTCCTGCATGACATTCTCATTCTAAGTTCTGATGATGACTTTTGGCCGGTACATACCATGTTATCTAATTTCTGGATACATTCTTCCTCTGGTAGCAAATGCATTATTTTTCAAGCTTTATGTTAAGTCATAGCAGAAGTGTAATTTTTGTTTTGTCTCAAGTCTCTTAGTCCTGTCTTAAAAGGACATATTGTACTAAAGATTCTAACATTCTTAATTGTGATAAAACTTACTATGAAAACTGAGAAAGAATCCCTCAAAGGTTCTATAATTAAGATATCATTGTATCATCAGTTTAAGTCATCAGGGGTGCATAATGGGATCTCATTCAGACAGAAAAGCAAGACTATTGCCTAAGGATTTGGAAATTTTATAGCAATGATATTGCTTGGAAATTTTATGTCTTAGTTCATAACTTTAACAGTAGTATAAATGATAGAGGTTATAGTTCAGACAGGCACTGTTTTCTCTTTCTCAATAGCTACGAGAAATTATTTCAGTACTTTTCAGGTGTTAGTTGTCTCACCTTCAGAAATGGCAGCAACCAGGCCATTGTTCATCATCTCTTACTGGTTTAAGGATTTGCAAAGAGCCCAGCTTCTACTTTTCAATGAGCTCACACTCTGTTCCATTCATTTGTCCTTTTCTACCTGGAAAATGGAGATGCAGAAAGAGATTTTGTTTTTCTGTTGCTGCACATATGTGTGTTTTACTCATAGGCAGGAGTGACTTCTTTACTGAAGCTTCTGTTTGACTTCCTATACACAGCTTCACACGCTACTTTCAAGATCTTTTTCCTCTAGCAAATTACTAGCTTAAGGATTTAGATATTAGCCCTAAGTTTTATCAGTTTGTAGTTGAACAGTTTTAATAATTTCTGAGTTAGTACCATTTTCTCATTCCTAAAACTGTAGTGCGTTCTTTACTCAGTTGAAGATGTTTTAGTAATTTTATGTAACATTGTTCTGTACCTGTTGTCCATAGGGATTAAGGGGTACACTGAGTTTTGCAAGGAGACTTCTATCTCCTTTAGTTGTGATCACATAAGGAGTACAAGGCATAGTAATAGGTTGTATTTAAAGGAACAAATGAAAGGTTTCTGGA